TATATATACTCTTTTTATTTTCTACTATTTATCTACAAAATTCAAACATACTGTTTTCAAGAACAAATTCTTTCAATTTTCCTCACACCCCCCCATCAAATTGCACAACCCCATGATTAATCCCTCCTCTCCTCGAAAATCCCCATCCCTCTGCTTCCAGCTTCTCCCACCCCTCCTGGATCCTTATACTCATTCTACAATAATGGTTTTATACAATATTTATTCCTATGGGACTGAGTTAGTTCACTAAGCATAATGCTCTCCAGTCCCTCCCAAGTTAGGTAATAATTTACAAAATCATTGCTCCTACGTGCTGCATAGTTTTCCAACATATGAATGTACTATAATTTCTCAATCAATTCCTTTGTGGTTGGACATCTGGGCTGTTTCCATGTTCTTGCGATGGTGAATAATGCTGCTATGAACATCAGTGTTTGTGCCTCAGTTCTCATTTTCTCAGAGTATATTCCAAGAATAGCTGGGTCATATGGAATGTCTATGTTCAGCTTTTTGAGAAAGCACCAAACTACCTTCCAGAATGGTTGTACCATTTTACAATCCCACCAACAATGAATGAGAGTTCCTTTCTCACCACATCCTCTCCAACATTTATTACTTGCTGCCCTGTTAAACTTTGCCACTGTTACTGGAGTGAGATGGTATCTCATTGCGGTTTTCATTTGTATCTCTTTTATTGCTAGTGATTTGGAGCATTTCTTCATTTGTCTGTTGGCCATTCCAATATCTTCCTCTGTGAAAATTCTTTCCATGTCTTTTTCCCATTTTGTAATTGGGTTATCAGTCTTTTTCTTGTGGAGGCCCAGGAGTATTCATTCTGTAAACTTTTGTTATAAGACTCTTGTCTGAGATGGTATTACCAAATGTTTGTTCCCAGTCTGTAGGTTTTCTTTTCACCCTGTTGGAAGAAGTTTTTAATGTACACATGGATTTTATCTTTAGAAGGTCCCATGCATCAATTTTATCCCCTTTAGATTGTATACTTCTGGTTGTATTTAGCAGTCACTTTATACCTTGGACTAGTACTTCTAAACTTGACCCTTTGTTTCTTATGAATGTTATGGTTTTGGGCTTTACTCCCAGGTCTCTGATCCACCTTAAGTTGATTTGTGTATATGGTGTAAGATGTGGATCCGGTTTCAGCTTTCTGCAGGTAGAAGTCTAGTTTTGTCAGCACCATTTGTTGAAGAGGTTATCATTTCCCCATTTGATAGCTTTGATTTCCCTGTCAAATATCAGTTGGCCATAGACAGCCGAGTCTAATTTTGGGTTCTCAATTCTGTTCCATTGGTCTATGTGCCTGTCCTTGTACCAGTACCATGTTGTTTTGGTTATCTGACATCCCTTTTAGTCATTTTTTTCCTTCCCTGTTTTTGTAATGCCCTTTTTTTAAGGATGACGTCCTTGATGTTATTCTACAAGTCATCTGATCTTTAGTCATTTATTTCCAATGGGTCAAATCTAAACTTAAGATAGTTTTTAAATTGAGTTTGGATACACTTAAGGTCATATATTGGTTGTTGTGGATTTTTTTTTTTTTTCATTTTCTTCAACCTCAATTTGACTTGCATCTGAGTAGTGGATGGTCTAGCCCATAGTCAGCTCATGCTTAGCTTTTACTAATGTTGAACAAAACATTCCATCACCAGAACTTGAGTTCTGTGAGGAATTCTTGCAAATTATCAAATCACAACAAGAAAAAATCTTGGGGACAACAACCTGGTCAACTGACTGGAAGAGATCCGTATGTGTTCCCATTCCAAAAGAAAGTGACCCAACAGAATGTGGAAATTATCAAACAGTATCATTAATATCACATGCAAGCAAGAACCTGCTGAAAATTATCCAAAAATTACTGGAACAGCACATTAACAGAGAATTCTGATAGCCAATATTAGATGGATCTTGGCTGAAAGCAGAAGAGTACCAGAGGGATGTCTATCTTGTTTCACTGACTATGCAAAGGCATTTGTGTGGATCACAACAAACTGTGGCTTATTAAGAAGAATGGGAATTCCAACGCACCTGATTGTGCTATGCAAAACCTATACTTAGACCAGGAGGCAGTCATCAGAACACAGCAAGGAAGCACTGCATGGCTCAAAAGCAAAAAAGATGTACAGCACAGATGTATCCTGTCTTCACACTTTTTCAGTCTATATGCAGAACAGATCATCCAGGAGATGTGGCTCTATGAAGAAGAATGTGGAATCAGGATTGGAGGAAGACTCATCAG